AAAGTGAGTCTAAGAAAGGAATTCAGTTAGGAGAGTTTAATGGTGGATGGACAGCTTGGAAAGAGGCATTTACACACACTTCTACTGAGATACATGCTTCTAAGTGTTGTACTACTAAACCAGTCTTCACATGGGTCAAGTGGAACTGTCACAAGAGGCCTGTGCAAGCTTAGTTTATTTTAAAGTATTTCACCTGCAGGCCCCCAGGATTTTCTTTAGAGACAATACTGCATCAGCTTCTTTCCCCACAAAACACGACAACTTTCAAAATATACTTGATAAAACTGTATTTTGTTTTGTTTTTTTAACAGACGTTTGTACACTTTGTTACAAAACTGTAGAGAACTACGACTTGCTTTAAATCATTTTTTGGTCGGCAAATATTGTAAAATCTTTGTGTGCAATTATCATGTATTTACAGGGCCTCATGTTAGTGATTTTCAATGATTATTCCAATAATGTCACACACTCTCAACATAAGACATGGCTTAAGATAAATATATTAGTAAATAAATATTCTGAGAACATATTTCCATAAATGAAATGTGCTGCTATACATATACAGAATATACACAAGTTGTTTCCTAGCCTTTAAAACAGTAAAAAAAATGGTAATGGAGAAAGAGCCCTTTGACTATATTATTACAAATCTTTACACCAAAGTTTATACAAAACCATTTTTAAGTGCTACAGAATAAATTTTAATTAAACATTTTAAATAGTGCCTCCTGAGCCCAACACAACGGCAACAGTTTATTTAAGCAATAGAAAGGCATTTTTGTTTTAAAATAGTCTCTATGTGGCTAATCAGCCTGTGTGTCATTTCAGACACATTAGTCCCAATGGGCTTTCCGCAGGGAAAATGAGCAAATGCAGAAGGTAACAAGATCAGAAATGGGAACTAAAGAGAATGTATTTCTACAAAATGGCTTGCAGGGAGGGAGTGGCATGATTGGTTGGCATTTCCAGGTCTTCTGAGTAAGACCATATCCATGTGGATGGGAACACATGAGCCAAAACATTCAGACAGACATTTTACACCACGTTTTACCGTACCTCAATCTATGCTAGTTACAGTATGCCAAGTATCTTGAGTGGCCAAAGACTTGGTGGTTCTCAAATACAAGATAATAACCATACCTCCTCTAGTGCATTTCTTTGGGGGTGGGGGAAGGTGAGTGTATTCAAAGTGGAAAATTTGATAAAATCCCACAGCTTCATTCCCACAAACACACCATGTCACTGGTACTCAGAGAAGATATTGCTTGGTTTCTGCCTCTTTATATGTAGGAAATATGTTTATTGTAATGGGTTTTAATTTTATAGCATAGCTCCTGTATCTTGTTGTAAGACACACCAAGTCTCTGAAATGCTTCATTCATGGTTACTCATTTAGAGAGACACAGGGGTTCCTTTAAATATATTTATCCTTCCTAGTGGGTTTTTTTGGAACACTGTAGAGTATTAGAAGTGAAAAAAAAATGTAAAAATCCAAATTATTTTGTATTACTTAAGCTCTGTTTTTTCCCCCCCATTCATCCAGGACATCCATCAAGACAGATTAGAATCCTTTTCCTGGTTCCCATGACTAGCCCAATGCTGTCCCATAAAGGGCAATGTTTCAGTAAAAATAAACTTCTCACTAATTTTTTTATTTTTAATGTAATGAAAACATTTCCAATCATATTTTACAAGACCTACATTGTGGGCACAAACTAGTTCGGGTCCCTTTAAGAAAATCCCTGCTGTGTGAATACACCAGACAGACAGAAAAGTGCATACTGTGTTTTCAGTCACACAGCATGACAGTCATGGCCTCTTATCCAGAAGCCAGTTTCCACAGGAAACAATTGCTATTGGAAGGGATGATGTGCATTATCTCATGATAACAAAACCTCCCCACTGTAAGAAAAACAGGAACATATCTGTGCGCCCAAACTTAAGGGGTATGCAGTGCTCTCTGTACGCAAAGGCATGAACACAGGCAAGGCTGGATAGGCCAAAGAATCCTGTAAGATAGACTGATCTATGGAAGCTACATCAACCATATCTCTTCCAGCAAAGAAAGAGACAATGGCTAAAGCAAGTTTACCCAGTCTTTACTCTGGGAACTAAAACTCCATGCATGTGCATACATGCAAGATGTGCTAGTTGACGGAAAGCACTAATTCTATTATTATCCATGTGCAGTCTCCAAGGAAACAAAACAGTAACCCCCATCCAAGTGTTTTCTCAACTGACCCAAAACAAGTCACAAATATCATACAAGCAATACATCACTACATGTGCCAGTTTCTCTTGCTACAGTTTCTCCTGAAGAACTGCAGTAGGAATGCTGGGGTTCGCTATGGGAAGCTGTTATCCCCTCAGCCTTTCGATGTGGTAGCAAGTCACTTGTTCCCTATTGCTCCACAGGCCTGAAGGCGCAAAAGGTCCTAACTTTTGTCAGCAGGTGACAGTGGAAGTATTTCACGAGCTCACATCTGCACTCCTTCGGGAAAGCTGACCTTGTCTGCAGACCCCTAGCAGCCAAGCTGTTTGAGGAGTGTGAGACGGGGCAAAAATACTTCCGTATCCCAATCTTCCACCCACCCCTTAAAGATTCTAAAACCTGCTTGCCACTGAGATTTGCCACAAGGAGGACAGGGCAGCATCCAAGAATGGATTTATCATTTGTATCCACCTGGACTAGTTTTGACTCAAGGTGCTGACTTGTTTTCTAAGGCAGGTATAGCCCTGAGCTCATCAAAGGCCTGCACTTGTTTAGGGAGAGATTAGTATCTATTAGGGCTGTCAAGCGATTAAAAAAATTAATCACAATTAATCGCACTGTTAAACAATAATAGAATACAATATAATTTAAATATTTTTGGATGTTTTCTACATTTTCAAATATATTGATTTCAATTACAACACAGAATACAAAGTGTACAGTCCTCACTTTATTTTTGATTACAAATATTTTCACTGTAAATAAACAGGAAATAGTATTTTTCAATTCACCTAATACAAGTACTATAGTGCAATCTCTTTATCATGAAAGCTGAACTTACAAATGTAGAATTATGTACAAAAACCTGCATTGAAAAATAAAACAATGTAAAACTTTAGAGCCTACAAGTCCACACAGTCCTATTTCTTACTCAGCCAATCACTCAGATAAACAAGTTTGTTTACATCTGCAGGAGATAATACTGCCCGCTTCTATTCTGTTATGTATATACATTATGATTCATATATCCATGTAATATGTTATAGGTCATTGAGGCCTGGTATGAATGACGTGTGCTTGACATGAATACGTGCGTTGCAAGCTGGCAACCGAAGCAAGAACTTAAGGTCAAGAACTATTAGAACTATTTGTGCAAAAACAATCTTGTTATGTTCTGAGAAAAATACGGAGAATCAGCAGAAAAGGAAACACCACCAGCTGGACTGATATAAAATTGTGTAAGAATTGGAGGAAATGGCACGCCTTGGATCATGGCAGCCCACCCAGGATTGTCTCTTTGGAACTGTGTGGGTAGAAGGCAAAGAACCGATGACGCGACGGAATGGACTAGAAATGGTTGCCTATGATTTCTGCAAATCCGAGTCATTTATTGATCCAGAGCCCTGTGTGGATATAGATGTGGTTTTCGCCGGCTCCCTGCATCTTATGATCATATGGATGGAAGGAATCTCGATTGGCTATCGGGACCATTCTGACCTTTGGACTCTGGTATAGTATGTTTGGGATGTGAATGTGGAGTGAATAAGGTTTGTGAGCATTTAGAGTATTATATACCAACATTGTGTCCGGTATCTGCCTGCTCCCCATCCCATAGGGAGACCTCTATTGTGGGTCTAACACTTCTTGTTTACAGTGTCAACAGAAAGTGAGAACAGGTGTTCGCATGGCACTGTTGTAGCCGGTGTTGCAAGATATTTACATGCTAGATGAGCTAAAAATTCATGTGTCTCTTCATGCTTCAACCACCATTCTAGAGGACATGCGTCCATGCTGCTGATGGGATCTGCTTGATAACACAAAGCAGTGCGGACCGATACATGTTCATTTTCATCATCTGAGTCAGATGTCACCAGCAAAAGGTTGATTTTCTCTTTTGGTGGTTCGGTTTCTGTAGTTTCCGCATCGGAGTGTTGCTCTTTTAAGCCTTCTGAAAGCATGCTCCACACCTCATCCCTCTGAGATTTTGGAAGGCACTTCAGATTCTTAAACTTTGGGTTGAGTGCAGTAGTTATCTTTAGAAATCGCACATTGGTACCTTCTTTGCGTTGTGTCAAATCTGCAGTGAAAGTGTTCTTAAAATGAACATGTGCTGAGTCATCATCCGAGACTACTATAACATGAAATATATGGCAGAATGTGGGTAAAACAAAGCCGGAGAAGTACAATTGTTCCCCAAAAAGTTCAGTCACAAATTTAATTAACGCTTTTTTTTTTTTTTTTTAAATGAGCATCATCAGCATGGAAGCATGTCCTTTGGAATGGTGGCCGAGGCATGAAGGGGCATACAAATGTTTAGCATATCTGGCACATAAATAGCTTGCAATGCCGGCTACAAAAGTCCCATGCGAATGCCTTTTCTCACTTTCTGGTGACATTGTAAATAAGAAGTGGGCAGCATTATCTCCTGTAAATGTAAACATACTTGTTTGTCTTAACGATTGGCTGAACAAGAAGTAGGACTGAATGGACTTGTAGGCTCTAAAGTTTTGCATTGTTTTGTTTTTGAGTGCAGTTATGTAACAAAAAAAAAATCTACATTTGTAAGTTGCACTTTCACAATAAAGAGATCGCACTACAGTATTTGTATGAGGTGAATTGAAAAATATTATTTCTTGTGTTTTTTACAGTGAAAATATTTGTAATAAAAATAAATATAAAGTGAAGACTGTACACTTCATATTCTGTGTTGTAATTGAAATCAATATATTTGAAAATGTAGAAAAACATCCAAAATATTTAATACATTTCAATTGGTATTCTATTGTTTAACAGTGTGATTAAAGCTGCAATTAATCGCGATTAATATTTTTGAGTTAATCACGTGAGTTAACTGTGATTAACTGACAGCCCTAGTATCTATACATGCTGTGCCTTGTTTAATGCAGCAGTGTCACCTGCCAGCAAGAGCGGCACAATGGTTTTAAAAAAATATATATTTAAAGAACACTTTTTGTCACTAGTATAAAAATAGCACTAGCGCTCAGAGCTGCTCTGCGTGGGTTTTGTTCACTTACATAAACCCAGGACTGAAGGAGGCATCACGCTGGCAAGGAATGGAGGGGAGGCTCAGTCCAGCTAGGGTGGGGGGAGGGGCTTCTCTACATTACCACTTTTGTGTGTTTGTCAAAGCTAAAAAAGTTTGAAAGAAAGTCCAGCATAATTTGGAGTCTCCATAAAAAGCTCTCCTTGTCTATCTGTGGCAGTCTGGCCAGGTCTAGTCACCCATTTGGCTTCTTTCCAGGGGGTGAGATCCAGAGCCTGAAGGGATAAAAGAAATTATTAGACATAATGCAGGCACATCCAAGAAAGAGGTCTGGGGAAGGAGAAGGAGCAGCCCAAGTGGTGATTCTTTCTCTGCCACTAATTATTTTGTCACCAGTCCAGACTCGCTCCCACACACACTTCTGAAGCATCAGGGGGGCCTGCACCTCCCTCCCTTTCCATGCACTCTCCTCTGAGGCTATCCCAGACTTTCCACCACCCCTTTTCATCCTCCTCAGGGTCACCAGTCTCCTCATCTACCCCATGCATGGCACTTTGGCCTTTTCTGCACTGGCCATTTTTCCTGAGTTTCCCTGCTTCTAACACTGGTTCAGCGCCACTGGCTGTGGCAATGGTGGGAGCCCAAGTTTAGATTAGGTGTCAGCAGCCACTTGTGTTTTCACCATTGGTGTCTAGAGCTGCTACGAGCATGGCTAGATGGTACATTAGCACTCCCACCAATGAAACTGCAGCAGGGGAGCAATGGAGGACGTTTTCTGAGGAGAAGAGGCTAATATAGGCAGTTTTTGTAAAAATGTAGATTATAGGGTGGAACCATGCGCAGTTCCACTTCTCCAGAGCATGAGCTGTAACTTTCATAATGTGTGGACCATCTCTGTGAACACTAGTGCAGCCGACATGACGCTCTCTTCACCATACTCTGAGACTGAAAGGTGCTGGAGAAAAACCATGTCTGACTCTTACCTGCAGTTTCTGTGGTTGCTACTGCCTCCTGGGAGCTCAGGGTGGGGTTGTGAAAGAGCATCCTTGTTTCTTCGTCCCGAGAGCAGTTCTGCTGCAGGAAGGACATTGCCCGGTAGCACACCTCCCTCTCCTCCTGTAGCTCTCCTAGACCTTGGCGGTGTAGATGAGCATCCATTTCAGGTGTCCCATCCCAGGAACTACAGCCTCCATGGGTCCCTCGGCACTCTATTGGCAGGACTAGCTCACAGTCTCTGTCCTCAGGAATGATAGGAATGCGTTGACCTATGTCACGCACTCCCCTATAGCAGCTTGGCAAGGCCTCATCAGGAAGTGTGTACTGTACACTCACTGCATAGTCCTCTGTGTAGCAGCCACCACCTCCACTGCTACCGGTGCCACCACAGGCAACCTGCTTCTCTTCATAGAAGCAGCAGGGCAAGCCCTCATATTTCACCCCATCTGTCCTATGCAAGTGGTCTGAGTTAATACTGTACAAACCTGGGGAACTACCTGGCTGCTGCTCCAGCCCCGGGCCACACCCTCCCCAAAGTGGGGAGCCCAAGAAGAGTGCACCACAGTCTGTTGTCCCACTGCTGGGCTCCAGGGCAGAGTGCTGGAGCTCAAAGCAGCAAGCACATGCTTGCTCCATCAGAGGTCCTGCTACTTCTGGACCTTTCCAGTTCCTTTTAACATCCAAGGCAGCACTGGGAGTAGCCTCGAGGCCTCCCTGTGAGGTAGTGCCATTTGAATCCCTGTGCTCTAGTGAGGAATTACTGCTGTAGTTCATCTCCATGCTGCAGTTAGAAAGTTGGTCCCCTGAGGAAGAAGCTGGCACAGGCCGACAGTCAGCACCCATCAGAGTGTGCCCATGTGCCAGAAGCTCGTCCTGATGGGGGCCCTCCAGGAGAACGATCGTCCCTCGGTTTGTGCCACCAGCATCCCCCACTCGGCAGGGGCTCTTGCTGCGGTAAATGTAAGGGTCATAGTCACTGCTCAGAGAGCTACGGAAGGTGGAACAGCTCCCATAGACCCCCTGGTTGCTGACTTCTGTACAGTCAACCATGGAATCACTGGAGGAGCAGTGGCATTGACCAGAACTGCTGCTGCTGCTGTCACTGCCTGGACAGTCAGCCAGGTAACCACTGCACACTGAGCGGTGACCATGATAGCAGCTGAAACTGGAGGTGCTGCCACTCTCCAAGCGAGAGGAGGGCATTACATGTACCACAGGAGGGAACAGCATGCTGCCACCAGGCTGGAAGGCACGGGAGGGACCCTTTGCGGCAATGCCAGCTGGAGACTGTCCATCTTGCTCAGGGTAGCTAAGGCCTTGGAAGTAGTAGTGCTGGTACATGGTCTCATACTGGGAAAAACAAGCTGCTTTGGAGAAGTTACGTCCATTGAACTTGGCCCTTCGGAAGGTATGAGCTGGAGAATAAGCTCTGTGCTCCAGGCCACAGCGATGTGTGTTCAAGGCATGATCCAAGTGAACAGGCTGGTAACTTTGGATGTAAGCAGGGGACTGTGCTGGGTACAGGCTCTGCTCACCATGCCGGTCCACTGTAAGTACCGTGATGGGATTTCCATGGGAGTCCATGCTAGTCCGGGTGGGATATGCAGTTATCTGGCTGGTCCTGTGCACTCGGCCAGGATAATGAACTGGCAGAATCACCCTCTGCTGCCGGCTGCGCACTGGGTTGGTGGATTCCAAACATACCGGGCCTGGGTTTCCCTTCTTTTGTTCTGGATGGGGAGAAAAACAAACAGTGTTCTGGAAATGCAGCCACTCTGCCGAGGGTTTGTTACCTGGCAGACTGCAACAGTGAGTAAAAGTGCCAGCCTGCTCCAGAGAAGTGACACAACCAACACAAGCACACTTGCCCAGAAGTTCTTTGAAACACCTGGGTCTATTGGCCAGGGAAGGAAGAGCAGTGACTTCAGCTCCTTCCTCTGCATAAGCAAAGATACTGCCTACTCAGCATTCCCAGCCTTCTGGGTTAGTAACACTCATCTCTGCCCAACTTTTTCCATTCTTCTTATAAATTATTTAGATGGAAAAATGTTGTAAAGTCAATGAAAGAACCACATTCTATGTTGCTGCACAGAGGAATCCAGGAATTTTACAACTCCCTCCCACATACCAGCTGCTTTTAATTAATTTGCTTTTCTTTGTATTTCCCCATATAAATACAGTGAACTTGGATGAATTTTATTTATGCTTCTTTTCTACACAGGCTGATAGATGCTGCCCTCTGGTGGGCATATGCCCAGGATAAGAGATATGGTAGGAAAGTGTTTTGGCTGTTTTAGGACATGGCTGGCATCATTGAAGGAAGTCCCAGGATTGTATTACAATACAGACCAATCACCAAAGAGATTTTCCTAGGAGCGTACAGAAATACACAATTTACCCTCCATCCAGAGAGCTGAGAAGTCCAGAAATGGCACTATTTGGGTGTGTGCATTTGAGGGGCAACACTCACCTATAATGTTATGGCGGCAGTGGGGGCAAGTATGATGCTGCAGCAGCCAGGGATCCACACATTTTTTGTGGAATCTGTGAGTGCAGGGAATCACCCGCAACTCCTGTTGGGGAGAAAGAAGAAAATTAGAGGACTCTCCCTAAAAGGCGTGAATACTCGCAACCCACACCTAGCTCTTCTGGCTTAGCTACATATAAGGTCAGTTCCCAGCCTCTTGCTGGAAGAGGGGTGGAAAAGCCACCAACCTCTGTTAACAAATAACTCAGAGCATAGTGGCTGGAGAGAGTTTGTGTTCATTCATATGGTGAGCATCTCCATGCTCAGCAACCCTGTTGAGCTCCTTTCCCCGTTGCATCCTGTCCTCCTCTCAAGCTACTCTTCCCTCTGAAGCCTCTAGCCTACCTCCAGCAGCACCCAAAAGTTCTAGCTAGTTTTGTGCTTTGTCTGGCAGTGTTCCCGAGGGCCACATTCAGTGCATTCTTGACTGTTGTGCACGTGCAGCAGTTATTTTATTTTTTTCATGTCTGACAAAGGATGTATTTTTTATTTGAGGGGAGGAAAATTTTAAAAAAAGGCAGTGGTCTTTTTTTTTTTTTTTAAATCTCGTGTCTTCTAACTTCACACTGAGATTTTAGATTGCCCCTTCCCTTTGGGCCATGCTCTTTGATTCATTCCCCTCTTTAGTTCCTCTGAGTGTTGTTGTAGGGGAGATGGCAGCCGGGCACCTTTCACTATGGCACTAACACGGATGGATGCTGAGGTTAGAAGTCATTTTCTGGAACTTTGAGCTTCTTCCAAGGGATTTCCTCTGTAAGGAGGTGAGACAATGATTTGGTGAACCGATCTCATGTAAAATGGTTAGGGCCTAAGTGTATTTAATGGATCATACATACACACACGTTTCACATATTAGCTAGTAATATATATAAGCAAATGCATACTCAATATAAATGTAAGCCTAGTTTAGTTTGGTTCATCAGATCTTTGAATAATCCTTTTTTGGAAGAAGTGCAAAACAAGGTTTTTGGCTTACTAAGTATCCTGTTATTTCACTCCTTAGAATGCCTCTTATTTGGGTATGAGGTTCCAAGGATGAAGTAAGATGCAAGATTGCGATGACCCAGCCAAATATAATCAGGGTAAACACAGGAAGTCCCCAAAGTCTCTGTCAAACATTAAGACTGATAGTTTTGTTACTGTTAATAGATAAGTTATACAATTTACAGTGTAAGGCAGAATCTTGTATTTGGTCATAAAACATCAGATCAGAGGAGAGAGGTGTTTGATACAAGCTCTCATCTTGGGTATAAAAGAATGTACTCAGACTTAAGTCTTTGCCTTTGTTTGTGTACAGCCTTGTCTGTATATACTCAGTCAGTTCATTGGCTGGCCATCTTCAACTGATTACTGGGGTGTGACACTTTGTACCTATTCTGAAATAACCCTGTTCCTTGGATGGGAACTATGGAATTAGCAGTGGTTTTGCCTGCAACAGCAAGCAGTGGTTTTCTGCTTTGCTAGATTTGTAAAGTAACCTATGGATCTGAAAACATCCTTACATCCTGATCTTATTTCATATCTCACTCTTTAAAAGCAGCCCACGCATCAAGAATGCAGTTCCTAAAGCAACACTTTACTGCTCTCTGGCAATGACTTTGCCTTTGACGGCACATTCTGAAGCAGCACAACAAGATCTTACAAACTGCTTTGCTGAGGCTGCTTATACTTTGGCCTTACCTTCAGCCAAACAAAAATTGAAGCTATGTACCAGCCAGCTCCTCAACAACTTTCCCAAGAACCATCAATAAGCTTGGAAGATACCACACTCCAAGCTGCCAAACAGTTTACTTATCTTGGCAGCATGTTAAACAATGAAGTGCAAATCAATCACAGAGTGGATATGTGAATTAAGAAAGCCAGTGCATCATATGGTTGCCTTTATCACTGAATCTGGAAGCAACATGGAATCTGTTTACAGATGCAAATCTAAATCTATAATGCTGTTGTCCTCATGATATTGCTCTACAGGTGTGAAACATGGACCTGTTATCAATGGCACATTAAAAAGCTTGGAAGTTTCCACTTGTGACACCTACAATGACTGCTGTGCACCAAATGGCACGACTAGGTGTCCCACACAGAAGTCTTAGTGCAAGCTGGTTCGGCTGGTATTGAGGGTCATTAGATTTTGATTTGTTACCAACTGAAATAGACTGATTATGTAATTGGTATACCTGAGACCCATTTATCAAAACAAATTCTATATATGAATTTAGATCTAGCAACTACAGGCATGGAGTGCAGATGAAACACTTCTAAAGATACTCAAACAAAATCTGCACCCAAGAAATATTTGTGACTCGATCTTTGAGCATTACATGGTGCCATGCTGTCAGGGTGGATGTCCATGACTTTGATAAGAACTGCATTGCACAGCTGGGAGCACAGTGCCATGTACGAAAACATGCAGCTCAATCAACACAACTAGACAAATGGCTCTGTGGTCAGTGCGGTCATTGTTGTTCTTCCTGAATGAGTCTACGGAGCTATGAGATGACCCATTCATACAAAACGTAATTGCTGACATAGTTCTTGAAATCAGGGTGACCAAGGTCCAGACTCCAGAGAAAATAATAATAAAAAACAATAATAATGATAAGTAAATAAAGAGATTTCAGGGTCCACTCAAAAGCATCTGGCAGTCCGCATTTGGCCCATGGTGCATCCACTAACTACCCCTGGACTATCAGATCCAGTTTTGGAGTGGGAGACCTCCCTACATTTTCAGCTGGATGCAATCAACACTGCCACACCTCCTACCCACTGATCCCCACTCTTGGTTCATGTGCCACCAAATACTCATCAGGTGACAATTGTGCCAAAACTGGCCCAGCAGCATGAGCCAACCAGGTTAGAGAAACTGCTTTCTTTTACCTCCCCATCAATGTATTTCTCCAGGCAGATGGCACAGTCAGAGGTTGAACTGCTGCTTAGTGTGTCCAGAGCTCCACAGCTTCCTTCACGGTGACCCTTATTTTTGGACTTGAACTTCTTGGTTTCCATCTTTTCCAGTGCCTGCACTGCAAGCCTGTTCATGGAATTCTACAATATAAAACACAATGTTGCTGCTTGAGGGATTGAGGCAATTGGAATAGCAGAAAAATAATGCTGTTCCTAACAGTTAACATCTGTAACCATATCTCCTCAGGCTGAGATGGGTGTCAAGTCTCATAAGCTAAGCAGATCCTGATTAGGCTTCTCTCTATGTGGGAGACCCTCTGGAAATGACATGCGCTACAGGGAGGAGTGTGTGAGATCAACTTATCACTGAGCTAAACATTCTCTGTGCAAACAGAACATAGTCCTAACCAGTTAAAAAACAAAAACAAAAAACCAACTAAACAAAACCTATGAGTGTGTGAGCACGCACACACACGGCACTTGGAGAGAAGTAGTTTTCCAAACCTGAAAAAAAATGAGCAAAACTGATTGAGAGGAAAAATTTAAACAGAAAAATGTGAGTGATAATTGGGAATTGTTTAAGAATATTTTATTTTGCTAGATCCCCAAAACACCTACAGCTCTACAATCACAAAAGACGACTTCTTAAATTAAAAAGCCATTCTGACTAAAAAGAGGAATGAAAGCACCGCTACAAAATAAAAAATATATTTAGCAAATTAGGAAATTGATAGCAATAACTATAAAATAGAAATCGATAAAGGAAGTGCCAAGGAAAAAAGTCTTTGGATAGTAGGGTTAAGGACAATAAAAAAGGAATAATGAAACAGAAAAAACAACAACCCAGTAATAAGTCTGTTAGTAGAAGTGGTAAAATTGTCATCAATCAATCAGAAAAGGCAAGTATTCAAGACGAACTTTTGTTCTCTATTTGGAGAAAAAGACCAATGACAAAATACTTTCTATTTCTACAGCAACTAGGTAAGATGTTATACAGCATCTATTAAAAGACAGACAGACACAGGTCATTTAGACCCAAAGGTCTCAATTCCTTGGTAAGCTGGGCTGTGACCTCTGCAGCGGCCAGTGCGGCTGGCTCCGGGGCTGGGGTAGTCTCAGGCTACCACACACCCACCCCCTGCAGCAGCAGTAGTTTGGGTGTGGGAGGGGGCACAGGACTGGGGCTGGGGTGCATGGCGGAGCTTACCTCAGGAGGGCTCCCCGGAAGCGACTGGCATGCGTCTGCAGCTCCTAGGCGGAGGGGCTGTGTGTGCTGCCCCTGCCTGCAGGCACCTCCCCTCCGCAGCTCCCACTGGCTGCAGTTCCCGGGTAATGGGAGCTGCGGAGCCATCGCTCATGGCAGGGGCAGCGCGCGGAGCCCCTTTAGCCTTCCTTAAGAGCTGCAGGGACATGCCACTTCTGGGGAGCCATGCGGAGCCGGGTAGGGAGCCTGCCAGCCCTGCCAACCCTCCCACCCCAGCACCAGTGGGGGTTCCAGGCCGCACGCCCCACCCTCCAGCACCCATGGCCCCCCAGCCCAAGTTTTAGTTAGGGGTATATAGTACAAGTCATGAACAGGTCATGGGCAGTGAATTTTTGCTTACTGCCCATGACCTGTCCATGACTTTTACTAAAAATACCTGTGACTAAAACGTAGCCTTATTCAAAGTACATGTGCTGTAATTCAGCAAATACAAGTTCATACATCTAGAAAGAAATAACGTCTGTTACACACACAGGATGGAAGAATGTATTCTGGAAAGCATGGACTGAGAAGAACTTAGGGGTCAAATGGACAACCAATTGAACTGTGTCCCTGTGTGATGCAGTGATTATGAGAGATAAGATGATCTTTGCATGTATAAAAGCAGAAGAACGATGCCTAGGAGCAGGAAGGTGGTACCACCTGAGTATATGGAACTGGTGAAACCATTACTGAAAACTGTGTCTGGATTCGAATCCACCTTTCAAAAAGGATGTTGAAAAACTGGAAAGCAGTCAGAAAAGAGTTTCAAAGGTCTGGAAAATCTGCCTTACACAGTGAGAAGGTAAGAAGATCAGTCTGTTTGGTTGACCCAAGAGAAGATAAGAGCTGACATGATTGCGGTTTATAAGCACTTATGTGGGGAGAAAATTTTAGATAGTACAGGGCTTTTCAATCTCACATACAAAGGCATAACAGGATCCAATGGCTGGAAGTTGAAGCTAGAAAACAAATGTGTACCTTATTTCCAGTCTGAATTTAACTGTGAGGGTAATTACCATTACAACGTTAAGGGATGTGGTGGATTCTCCATCATGTGAAATATTTAAATCAAGACTGAATGTCTTTCTAAAAGACCTGCTTTAGCTCAGCCAGATGATATGGCCTTGATACAGGAATTAATGGGTAAAATTCTATGGCCTGCGTTGTGCAGGAAGTTGTACTAGATGATCATATGGTTCCTTATGGCTTTTAAATATCTGAATCTGTGACCCAATATGGGATATACTCTTTTATAGGTCAGCACAGACCTAAGTTCCCACTAAGCTGCGCAGCAGGCTATCAAGGGCCACGCAGGTGGGTGGGAGTGGCAACTCTCCCCCAGCCCCAGAGCGGCTGTGGTGAGAGAGGGCTGGGGGGGAAGCCCTCTCTCCATGTTGCAGCCCTGGAGCAGCCTGCATCCCAAACTGCTCATCCATAGCCCCACCCCAGAGCCTGCACCCCCGCTGGAGCCCTCCCCCCCAACGCTCTGCCCCAGCCCTGAGCCCCCTCCAGCACCCAAAACCCCTCATCCCCGGCCCCACTCCAGAGCCTGACCCCCAGCCGGAGCCCTTCTCTTCCCCCTCCGCACTCCAATCTTCTGCCCCAGCCCTTGGCCCCACCCCCACCACACATGATCTTCCTATTGGTGCACATAACAAAGTTCATTCCGCACATGGATGTAAAAAATTAGAGGAAACATTGGTGCAGACCCCAACGCCCCAACATAGTGCTAACAAGATGACTCAGCAGAGAGAACTTTCCAATGTGTGTCAGTACTGACTTTAATGCTCCATCAGGGTGCTACAGGTCAATGGTTCTCAACCAGGGGTACGCATACCCCTGGGGGTATGCAGAGGTCTTCCAGGGGGTACATCAACTCATCTAGATATTTGCCTAGTTTTGCACAGGCTACATGAAAAGCACTAACCAAGTCAGTACAAACTAAAATTTCATACAAGGACTTATTTATACCACTCTATATACTATGCAGTGAAATGTAAGTACAATATTTATACTCCAATCAATTTATTTTATAATTCTATGGTAAAAATCAGCAAGTAAGCAATTTTTCAATAATAGTGTGCTGTGACACTTTTGTATGTTTATGTCTGACTTTGTACGCAAGTAGTTTTTAAGTGAGGTGAAACTTGGGGGTACGCAAGACAAGTCAGACTCCTGAAAAGGGTACCGTAATCTGGAAAGGTTGAGAGGCGAGCCACTGCTCTAGGCCCTGTGATCTGAAAGACTGTGCCTCTAGCATAAGATGTAAAATGAATGTGGTGATTAAATATCCTTTGACACTCTTTATGAGGTTTGGAATGCTGGACAACGCCAACTCAGATAATTACATGCTGCTTCCCTACAATTCAAATTGTAGGTTTATTTGAATACAGGATTTATCATTTTCCTTTCTAGTATCCCTGCTTTGCAGTGTTGTAGGTCCAGAATGCCTGGTGAGTCCCATCACAGAGGTGAGGGTTAAAGGAGTTCTATGAGTACACAATTGTTTGGCCTCCTTCCAGATGAAACACCCTATATGCATGCAGGGGAATTACAGGACAGATGACAAATGCAAACTGCAGGGAACTTTAGCATCTGATTGTTACACTGTTCTCCTACTCAGCCTTCCCGTCAGATAGCTTTGATCCTCTGAATCTCTCTGTTCCCGGGATGATTCCTAACCAGGCTTCTTTTCTTGAAATCTTTTCCCTCTAGGAATCAAGGGAAATTTTCATTAAAAGGAAGTTGCCTCTCCTTTAATTCCAGATGGAAATCTGGAGGATCCACATACTATACACTCAACAAGCTTGGAACCTGCTTTGAAGCCACTATCCTTTGTTAGAATCCATCAACACCACTCCGATCAGCTTCTCTCCCTTCTCCACTTGGGAATAACTACAGTTTCTGTAGCACTCCCAACCCAAGGATCAACTGATCGAGCACAGCAGAGTATAGCAGGTCTCTTAGTAAAGTTCCACACCTTTTCAAAGTGCCGTGCATCTTTGGATAATACCCTTTTCACAAAGATTGTTTTTCCAGACAGTGAACCCTTCTCTCTTCAACAGCACTGACCCAACTCTGTAGAAGAAGGTAGAAGCAGCAGTCAGAGTGCAACGAAAGTATCATTATTGATCCCGAGCTCAGGCAGCTCTTACCTGACTACGTCGCTGCTTCAGTTTGATCTTGACGAGAAGAATGAGGCAAACGAGAGAGACCACCACAAAAAAGGCGAGGAAAATCCCCATGTCAAAGTACTCTGTGGGTTGCTGAAGAAGACAGAAGAAATTTAACTTATCTCCCCTGGCAGATCACATTCAAATCCATTGCTATTCCCTTCAAATCCATTTCCCCCTTCTCTAATTTCTTGGTAATTATGATTTCTATGAATGCCCTGTGGGCATGAACCACATTGGTGGAAAAAGCCACTGCATATGTTAACCTCTCTCTTGACCAGTTGCTCATGAGCCCTGATGCATGAGCCAGAATCTTAAGTCAACATCACTGAGTGAGGTCAATTAATATTATTTTATAAAATTCCATGTACTTAATAGTGAATAGTCAGGGGTGTCCTTTACACGCAGGGATATCGCAAACAAATCTGAAATAAAAAAAATGGGAGGAAGTCACATTTATCACAGGAACGTAAGTGTGTGATGGGACACAGTTATGGCCAGCCTTAGAGTATAAGGTTTACAGCAGCTCTGAACTCAATGCTGGTTCTACAAGCAACAGATTTCACCAGAGTGAATCACAGTTACCAACAGCTCCAGTGGGTTTTTGGTACAATTCTATTTTTGAAGCAAGTAAAATCAACATGTCTGAGTCCTCAGCAAAGTACTGATTGCTCAAATGAGTCATGCTTTCTAATACAGCTGGTGCTTTAGGAATACAGTAAAAATGAATTAGAAACCTGGTCTACACAGATTTTTATAAAAACGAGGAGTCCGGTGGCACCTTAAAGACTAAGATTTATTTGGGCATAAACTTTCATGGGTAAAAACCCACTTCTTCAGATGCATAGGCTGTCAGATGCATTTTGTTTTTTACCCACAAAAGCTTATGCCCAAATAAATCTGTTAATCTTTAAGGTGCCACTGGACTCCTAGTTGTTTTTGTGGATACAGACTAACACGCCTCTGATACTTGGCACTGATTTTTATGTTCGCTTTTCTCATATAAACTACATGTAGGAAGTGTTCAAGATGTCTTGGGAACATCCATTCTAGATTGGAAAGAGGATAAAGTCTCAGATTTCTTTGTTAATCCATGTGTGAAAAATGCAGTCAAGAAATGTTCACTAACATCAGACAGACTGCTTTCCTGGGGGTAGAATATAATAAGCATTTTTTTTTTTTTTTTAAATGTTTTGTTTTCTTTATTAATGGACCATTATAATACAAAAAAAAACCCAAACAAAAATCCCTGTGTAATAAATATAGGGCCCAGACTGTGAACCTCCTCCTTAACACTGGTGAGATGTTACTCACTTAGGAAATCCCATGGAAGTCAATGATACTTTCTGAGTGAGTAACTAACTGTTCTCCAGTCAGCACTCATGGAAAGCATCACACTACATGTTATCAATCAATGCTATTAACAGGTGCTGCATGAAGCAACAGCAACACAATCCCCACTGAACATTAAGTCTCACCCGTGGGGGCCGGTGCTGAATCCTTGCTCGTGCCACTTTCTGCTTGTTAACTATGTTCATCAGTTTGACAGCATCAGCCCCCTTCACATACACCACTGGCCTCTTCAGAGGGTCTTCTGAGCCCTGGTTCAGCTAGACAAGAACACAGTAAAATTCCATTAAATAGATTTATTTCAGATCACCAACTCTCTTTTCAAGAGAAGGAGAGGAGACCATGGGTGAATGAAGATAGCACTAGATACACCACCACTTGTCCTTTTGTAGTGCATCCTTTCATCCGAGAATTTCAAAACACTTTACAAACATAAAATTAAGTTAAAAACTTGAGTTAAAATTAGGCCTGTTGATTATCGCAGTTAACTCATGTGACATGGTGCGGGCCGTTTCCGGGAGTGGTGCAGGGCCAGGGTAGGCAGGGAGCCTGCCTTAGCGCGGGGCGCTGCTGCCACCCCAGAGCCACTCCAGGTAAGCGGCGCCAGGCTGGAGCCCGCACCCCGAACCCCTCCTGCACCCCAACCCTCTGCCCTGAGCCCCCTCCCGCACCACACATCCCTCCTGCACCCCAACCCCTTGCCCTGAGCACCTTCCTGCACCCCGCATCCCCTCACGCACCCCGCACCCAGATGTTTTCCCCACCCAGATGTGGCCCTCGGGCCAAAAGGTTTGCCCACCCCTGCTGTAGAACATCTATGCAGCACATATTTTATCAGCAAAATTCAAGTTCCTAGCTTGTAAGCCCTTTGATTTATGAGCTAATAAGTTCTTCTGTCTTCAACAGCAGAGCTTGTAAACTCACTGATACAGTTATTTGGCTTCTAATGCTTATTTGAACCAACAGGTACACACTTGGGTCTTAATCTGCAAAGAATTATTCACGTGTGTAGTCAATTCGACAGTTTGAATTTACCATAAATGTCTTCATGTAATGGAGGAATCCTCTCTAATCGAGAGACTAACTTGAAGTGTCAACCACAGCCACAAGCATAGCTGAAACTCAGAATTTTGGCACACAAACTGCTTCCCCTATAAGTGTTCTGGGACCCTTGCACAGACCTACTTGAGATCCTTTCAAAGTATTAAACCTTAGCAACCTCTAAGCACATATTATGTACCAGAGTGGGAAAAAGTCTAGACTAGAGGATTCCTCTGTTACAAGACATATATACAGTAAATTCAAATGGTCTAATCTGACACGGAACCACCATGGGATAGGTAAAGCCACAAGGCATGACCAGAAGGGGACAGAGATGCAGCTATCCTTGTAACTGCTACACCCTTACACACTTATTTTCCCCTCAAAGGAAATTTTCTGGGCCTGACTCACCCTGGAAATTGTCCCCTAGGAATTCAAGTATTCTGTTGAAATTTAAAGATGAGGGAACAAAATCTATAACACTGATTCTCAGCCTGAGGGTCACGACCCTCCGAGAGCCTCAACAGGTCAGAAGGTTATAGCCATCCTCCATTTTTTTTATGACTGGATGGGAGAGGGTCCCAAAACTTTCTTCTGTTGTAACAAGGGTTCACAGTCCAGATAGGTCAGGTGTTCCCAGCCTATCCACGGTCACGCAGCCTAGTGCCAGGAAGAAGCACTCATGTGACAAATCACAGGTCAAGGAGAACACTTGCTTAGCCTTGAGGGATGATAAGCAATTTGGTCTCAGAACCTGTGACTTTTGCTCATTGGTACAAAAAGAACTTGGTCGTCAGGCATAAAAAGCTTGCTAATGTCTTCAAGAACTTCACCAAACTGCTTCTGTCCAACAATGTCTGGGACAAGAGAGCTTTGGAGGTGATCACCACCTCCCATGACAGCAATCACATCTGTTTCCTAGCTATAGTAATACCAAGGAGAAAAAAAAACCCATGGTCTAGAACAAAAGGAGTCTCATATACATGAAGGGTAATGCTCATGAAAGGATAGGCAAACTCAGAGTGATTACCATCCCAAAATCCCCACTTACAGGATTTTAGTTCAGGGTCTTAACCTGTGTCAAGAGGTGACACAGAAATGGCTACATGCGGAGTTGCACAGGCCAAATCGTAGTTCCCTTTAAGTGACGGCTAGGAGCAGGAGGTAAGCTTGTAACAAATAGCGGGACAGAAAAAAATGTGGCCATTCTCTTCTATACATAATGTGCAGGCTGTGACAGAATAAAATGGCTGATCAACTTAGCAGGTGTTTGTCTGCACAGCAGGATTCTTTGTTTAAAGTTTGCAGGCTCTGACATTGAGAGCTTATCCATTACATCTAGCCTTGCAGGATATGATCAAAGGAAGCCTTAGGGTAGTTAAGAAAAAGGAGAGCTTGCCGCAAAGGTCTCTTTTTTTTTCTCCTCTCTCAGGATGGGGGGAAAGAAGAGGGAGTTCTCTTCCTTAGATTACTGCTGCAAACCTGGGTCATGGCTTTTAGTCAGGACAAGGAGGCTTTAGATGTGAAGGTACAGGATGCACAGGGTGTCAAAGTTCCTTTTAAGTAACCGCTGTAAATACATTCTTTCACTAAGGATCTTTGAGACTACTGTATGGGCAGAGCCAAATTTATCCCACTTTTCATTGATAAAAAAAAAAAAGTGTAGCATATATGCTGGTATGTTTCTACCAGGCATTTTGCACTCACTACCCTCGTCCTTGCTTTCCTTTTTCTTGAGAGGAATACTAGCAGGGAAGTTAGGGCACTGAGTTCTCTCTTAATGCCAACATCTTATCTACTTTCAGGACAAGTTAATTAATATCCCTTATGCCAAGCGCTCCAGAGTATAAGCCCAAGTCTGCAGGAGAGAAGTCATTGGAAGAAGGGGATTCATTTTTCTACAAAGACGACTACTTATCTGGAGGCTCTCAGAAGCTTTCCTAGAAAATTTATCAGGATGTATTGGAAGTCACCTCTTTCCTAGGAGAGTAGCTCAAGGAGGACAGGGAAGAATTTGAGGGGGGTCACTTAGATCCATGCTCAGGAGCTATTCCCAGGGATCACCAGAGTGGCTTGATGAGAAAGTGGGTGGCTCGACAAAGAAGTGGCAGGTGCAGACTCACCTTATAATATCTTTAAAGCACTGACCAGGGGCTGTAACGTGACCACACATGAAGCACCACATTAAGGAAACCAGTGCCTTCAGGTGGAGTAATATCCCTGAAAGGAACAATTCCAAGGCACTGGGGGTCACAGTTGTCAAGGGTAGTAGTGCTGAATTTGGTGATGGGCATTTGGGGCAGTGGATTTGACGGCCCAGCCATCTTGCAAGTATAGGGCAGATTCCCTTTGAGCAGATTCTGAGCACACGTCCCACAGGCCCTAGTTCTGTCCATGTCTGTACTGGATACCGTGCCATTTTCTCCTGGAACCTTGCCTGCAGTGAAGCACTGACTTCAGTCCGTCATCCACCCCTGCTGGACTCTTCCTGGTCAGCAGTGATCTCCCACAGGGCCATGGCTCGCTATTTTTGTGCTACCATGTCTGCATCCAGGTCACACCACTGCACCTGCTGACCCAGGAACAGACTAACGATAGGGGAAAACGAGAAGATCAGGAGGGTAGAGAAAGGAGGGCTGTCAACAGAACCCAAGGGTGGGGGGCCAAATCCTCAAGATCAGAGTGGAGCTAGTGAGAAGCTGTGTGCTGTGGCACAGAAGCAGCAGACTGGGCCTATGAGGAGGCAGTCGGAAGGTTTATTTAGGGACAGCGGTTTAGGCACCAACATTCTGAGAGTTTCACTTGCTCCTGTAGCCAGTCAGTTTCCACACTAGAGGATTCCTTCCATGTGTGAAAAATCAAGAATTACTCATGCAAGTAAATGTTGCAGGATCAGGGCCTAAGTTACATGTAAGTGATCTGTTTTAAGATTTTACACCTCCACTTGCAGATAGTCTCTAATATACATGCTCTGTACTCAATTTTCAAACACGTTTCTTCCAGAATTGAAGCCAGTTCTTTCAAACCTAATCATGCAGGCTTTCATCCATGAGGACTATACACAGGCCCAATTTAAACTTTCATACTTGAGCTATTTTTGTCATAGCCCTGTTCAAAAAAGCATAGTTAGAATTCTTTTCCACACTTGTAAAAGTATTTTCCTACTCCCATAACTCAGAACTGGCTGAAGGGATTTTGCTCAAACTTCCCACAATAACACAACCCCACCCTCCCAAAGTGAATAAAAGTGACACACACAAAACTGACTCCACTAGCAAGAGGCAAAGCCTGGAAAATGTCAGTCCAAAATGTGAAAAAATAGGGGTGTAAAACAGAAAACATTTTGCAACCTGAACTGCAGTGGCTGCTGCTAGTGGGCACTACACTGAAGCATCCCCTCCACTCTGTACACCAAATACTCTCCCTTTGAGATGAGGGGGGTAAAGGGAGCATCCTGGACAACACAGCGCTGGATTACAACAGGAGTGAAAAGGCTGAGGTGGAACTCAGTGCGTGTGTGTGCTGGGCAAAGGGGAGTGTTCACATCCCCCCTTTCCTGGGACCTTACCGCCTCCACCGGAAAAAGAATAAATAGAAATGCAGCAAATTAAAAAGTAAGAAACAAGACAGACTTCTCTGGCGTTACCATTCCCCATCACCCTCTGTCAGGGTACTTGTTTGAACAGGGGGAGGGAAAAACCCAAACACCACATCCCCAGAGAGAAGAGCAGGTGTGTCTATTCTAGGACAGCTCTATTATGAGAGCAAAGAACACAGCCCACGATTCACAGAGTTTGGTGTACAGCAACCCTCACAGTGAGGGTAAAGCTCACAGAGACTGGGATAAGCCTGGGCTCCCTGCTTTGTACCTGGTCAATGGCATCTGGGTTTTCAGACACATCAAAGATGACAGCTGTGGCTCCTCGCTGCACTGCTCGCTTTGCCTGCAATGAGAAAAAGATAATGCCCCTTTAACACCTCCCAAAAGGGAAATGTCCCCCCGCCCCCTACCTCTTCCCATCCCAGCAACCAGTGCCACTGCTAGGCATAAGCAGACTAAGCATGCTTAGGGCCCTGAGCAGCTCAGGGGACCCTCTATTTGCGCATGTGCACGCATCTGTGTGTTCCTGCTTTGGGCCCCGAAGGGGCTGGCACTGCCTCTGTCAGCAGCAGCCTGCTCTTTCCCACTTTCACATGCCAGGCAGGAAGTAAACAGGATTAAAATGGTTTTTATTTCTATATAATCAATACAGAAGGCAACTGCAAATGCAGGGATAACAATCTCTAGTGCAGAGAGAAGCCAACCGCTCCAGGGCATCCATGGTGCCCTTCCCAGCCCCACTCAGGGTATGTCTTCACTACCCGCCGATCCGGCGGGTAGCAATCGGTCTATCGGGGATCGACTTACCGCGTCTCGTGAGGACGCGGTAAAATCGATCCCTGATTGCTCTGCCGTCGACTCCGGAAATTCACCTCGGCAAGAGGCGGCAGCGGAGTCAGCGGCAGCGGTCGGCTTTCCCCCGTCCTCACCGCCAGGTAAGCCAACCTAAAATACGCAACTTCAGCTACGGTATTGACGTAGCTGAAGTTGCGTATCTTAGGTCGGAACCCCGCTGTAGTGTAGACCTAGCCTCAGTCTCAGATGACAGTTAAACTTTTACCACTTTTTAAAACATTTCTTAGAACTGAAAGAATTAAGTAACCTGGAGAGAAAAGCCCCCTCCACAGACCACATAGGAGGGAGGGAGTGCTGTGGGGCTCCATTAGAAAACCTTTTCTGCAGCGAGGAAGAGGAAAAAGGGTTCACCTTTGGCAGGTGTATAAGGAGACTCAGGGCCATTACACATGCCATCTTTAAAGTCTCCTAAATCAATTCTCTTGCTGCAGTCATGACAAATTCTGTCCAGTGAGACTCAGACTGTGTTCCTCAGATGTTTTGAAAAGACATTGCTATGTCTGTCCACTAGAGGTCATTCTTACTGCATGCAGCATCTCCACTCAGAGAAAATCAATTCTATTTGATTTGTGAAGGATTTATACTAAGGGACCATAATTCAGAACTGGAGTGACCAAGAGCCAGCCGGGGACACTGGTATGTATTAAAATCCTCTGGGATAGTGAAATGGGAGCTGCAGGCACCTTTCACTGCAGCTTCTGTAAGTGTCTCTGCAACCTCTACCAAAATGCTGTCCTGTAACTTCCTACAGTAAACAATTGTCACGGAATCACAACTAGCACTACACCTCCAATTAAAAAAGAACGAGGAGTACTTGTGGCACCTTAGAGACTAACAAATGTATTTGGGCATAAGCTTTCGTGGGCTAAAACCCACTTCATCGGATGCATGCAGTGGAAAATACAATAGGAGTACACACACACACACACACACACACACACACACACACACACAGAGAACATGAAAAAATGGGTGTTGCCATACCAACTCTAACGAGACTAATCAAGGTGGGCTATTATCAGCAGGAGAAAAAAAACTTTTGTAGTGATAATCAGGATAGCCCATTTCAAACAGTTGACAAGAAGGTGTGAGTAACAGTAGGGGAAAAATTAGCATGGGGAAATAGTTTTTACTTTGTGTAATGACCCATCCACTCCCAGTCTTTATTCAAGCCTAATTTAATGGTGGACAGTTTGCAAATTAATTCCAGTTCTACAGTTTCTCGTTGGAGTCCTTTTTTGAAGTTTTTTTGTTGGAGAATTGCAACTTTTAGGTCTGTGATTGAGTGACCAGGGAGGCTGAAGTGTTCTCCGACTGGTTTTTGAATGTTATAATTCTTGACGTCTGATTTGTGTCCATTTATTCTTTTGTGTAGCGACTGTCCGGTTTGGCCAATGTACATGGCAGAGGGGCATTGCTGGCACATGATGGCATATATCACATTGGTAGATGTGCAGGTGAACGAGCCCCTGATGGCCTGGCTGATGTGATTAGGTCCTATGATGGTGACCCTAGATAGATATGTGGACAGAGTTGGCAACGGGCTTTGTTGCAAGGATAGGTTTCCGGGTTAGTGTTTTTGTTGTGTGGGTGCTGGTGAATATTTGCTTCGGGTTGGGGGGCTGTCTGTAAGCAAGGACTGGCCTGTCTCCCAAGATCTGTGAGAGTGAGGAATTGTCCTTCAGGATAGGTTGTAGGTCTTTGATGATGTGAGGGAGAGATTTTAGTTGGGGGCTGAAGGTGACGGCTAGTGGCGTTCTGTTATTTTCTTTGTTGGGCCTGTCCTGGAGTAGGTGACTTCTGGGTATTCTTCTGGCTCTGTCAATCTGTTTCTTCACTTCAGCAGGTGGGTATTGTAGTTTTAAGAACGTTTGATAGAGATCTTGTAGGTGTTTCTCTCTGTCTGAGGGATTGGAGCAAATGCAGTTGTATCTTAGAGCTTGGCTGTAGACAATGGATAGTGTGATGTGATCTGGATGAAAGCTATAGGCATGTAGGTAAGTATAGCAGTCAGTAGGTTTCCGGTATAGGGTGGTGTTTATGTGACCATCGCTTATTGGCACTGTAGTGTCCAGGAAGTGGATTTCTTGTGTGGACTGGTCCAGGCTGAGGTTGATGGTGGGATGGAAATTGTTGAAATCATGTGGAATTCCTCAAGGGCTTCTTTTCCCTGGGTCCAGATGATAAAGATGTCATCAATGTAGCGCAAGTAGAGTAGGAGCGTTAGGGGACGCATCCATGAAGGACTTGGTTTCCCCCCGCTTCCTCCAGAAAACAACATCAATCACTGTAACAGAGAGAAATCACAGGGCCCTGACCCTTTGTAGAGAGAACAATGGAGCATGTGGTTTAAATCCAATAGGAAATAAATAGATGGTACATAACAGGCATGTTTGGAGTAATACTGAGGTTTTACTACAAGAGAAAAATTGGCTGCAAGTGTGAAGGACTAACTGGTCATTTTCTCTGCTCCATTCTCTCTTTATTGTGTTTTCATTTAAAACCTAATAAAGCACATCAGACAGCACCTGAGGGAAAGCAGCTCCCAGAAAGGGTCTCTGCCTCAGCCCAGCAAATATTTATCTCCTTTGAAGTCAGAACACCTGGCTAATCGCTAATAGCTGTTGGGAATGAAGAGCTAAAAGGAATCTGATCTAGTAAAGCTCTTCTTCTCTGCCATGGAGATGTGCCAGTGAAGTGTTGCCCAGAAGGGTTCTCTCACAGATGCCCAGCACTTGCTCATGTGTTTCAGGCATGTAGACTTTAGAAGCCTGTTAGAGAGCAGTTCTTTCTCAGTGGGCAGTGGGGTCAGATGTGAAGAGCTTTTGATCTCTGGAGATGATTATACTTTTGAAGCCTGTCTGGGTTTGGTTCATTTTGCATAGAATGGTGAACAAGCAGGTTTACAGTAGATAACCCCAAAATTACCAAAAACAAAGTTTGGTCACTCATTACTACCTTGTAGCACAAAATCATAGAAGTTAGAGGCCACTTTGACTCTGAAAGAGCATCCACACAGAGGTTCAATGCAGTTTAATTAATCTACTTTAAATTCACTGCTTTAGCTAATTTGAATTACATTTCCTGAGGTCCCTGTGTAGACAAGCTCTTATTCATAGGTTTTTCTCTATAGCAATTTAGTTAAAAGGAGTATTCCGTAGACTTGAAAAATTTATAATTATTTGATCCTGAGACTCATTAGGTATAACTTTGGGTTGCCTCATCTTGACTTGTTCTCCCTCGATACATGCTAAAGAACAAAAAGGCCCAGCAGCTCTTGAATGTCAAACTCTTACACCTATATTTTCTGTAAGCTGAAGATGACAAAGAACCACAATGCCTCTAGCTACTAGCATCAGGGTACCTGTGGGGCACCACACAACCTTGTGGCATATTTCCAGATAGCATGTTACAATATCCACTGCGTGTTGCAGCATTAGAGCACCACTGCAATTGCAAGCTCCTCTTCCATAGACAAATGAGAGGTTCAGCCCAGCACCCAACTGGTATTTTCTAGGCTGGCTGGCATGAGGCTTGGGGGAATCAAGGGATGTTACAGCTACATGAAGAGTAACTGTCATATTGCGAAGGAAGCTAAGAAATGCTGCTGTATTAGTCCACAAAGCAGCACCTACTGACAGAGCTGCTGAGCAATGGTACCATAAGTCCTACCACTTTGCCAAGAACAAGATTAGAACAGCTGACATCCTGACTTGATTGCCCCCACCCCAGTTCCAACTTCTCTGCATAAACTTTAATGCACTCAGCTCATTAAAGAAAGCGGGTCCCAGAAACATATTACAATACCAGCTTTAATTCCTAACCTTAATAGTGGTATCAGGGGCATAAGTAGCATAGGACCACAGCCCTGGTTCAGGAGATATTAACGCATTTTACATGCCCTAGGCATTACACAGACTTGATAGATAACATACAACATTATGTTGCAACTACAGCAGAAAGAGCAGGCCCACTGGTCCCAGTAAAATACAAAATGTAGAATATTATACCAGAGAGATCTGGTTGTAGACAAGCCAATCCTGGAAACTGGGGTTAAAGAAATGCCACTACCTGTTTCTACAGCAAACTTGCTTGGCTAGTTTCACTTTAGCCAATTACAACCAGGCAAGGCAGGATTTTGCTAGGCCCCAAGTAAAGGCAGAAAAGTCAACCTCACTTTTAATTCTCACTTGTCACTTTTTCCCTTTCTCCACCCTTGTTATTCCTATTTCCATAAAGCTGGCCACCCAAGCACAAGGCTAACAAGCATGCTGGTCAGCTACTGTTCCCTGAAGCATGAGTCAAAAGTATGACACAAGTAACCCTCCATCAGTCTACGGACTCAGGATTGGAAGCCCTGTCTCAAAAAGTGCCCTGTTTTCAAACTGAAAAACTTTTCATTCCAAAGGAAATTATCTCTCTCTCTCTCTCTCTCTCTCTAAATCCCCCTCCCCCCGCCAAACACACACACACACACACACACACACA